ATGAGCAACCTCAAATGGAGCATGACGGAAAGGAGCCACTAGAGGAGCAACCATCTCAACCTATCCAACTAAAGGAGGAGCTCGAGAAGGAGCCACCTATCAGGAACTCTAATGACTAGACCAACATGTTCCAACCAAGGAAAGGAGTTAGATAACCCAACCATTCAACAGATCATGGAGGAATTATCAATGAAGAACAATCATCTTGCTCGTTGAAGGAGACTTCAAGTCACACTCACTATGTGTTCAACTCAAGTTGGGAGGAGGAAACTTACGAAGGTTGCAACTTTGATCTTGCTGAAGAAGGAACATCTACATCATCCTTTACAAAATGGAAGAAGAGCAAGTAGTATAGATCCCCCCTAATCGAGATGATGAATCTCTATGCATAGAAGAGCCAAGCCTTGAAGTGGATGGACCCCTTCAAGATCCCCTACATAATCTTCTTAAGGATCTATAAAAAGCTTGGAAAATAAGAACCTTGGGGAAGTAAGGGTAGATCACGAAGAGTTCACCATTTACAGGATACTTTGGTGACAATATGGAGAATGACATTCTCGAAGTTGGAGACCATCAAGAAAAATGCATAACCATGGTGGAGATGTTTATATGATCTCAAGCTCGAGATATTGGTCTTAATCCATAATAAGATTGTTCAAACAAGACCAACCTTCAACTCAGATCAATTATAAACCAAAATGGAGTTTTGGCTTTGTTCTCTACCACATTAACTTTGGAACTAGAAGATGCTTCTGCATTCACATTCTTGTCACGGATTTGAGCTTTCTCTTCAATCCATAAGTGCTTATGAATTTTTTCCAAAGTGAAATTTTTTATATATAAAGTAACTTTCCTATAATTACTCCATGATGAAACCCGCAGGAAACAAAGACATGGCATTCTAAGCCACCATATGGGCTACCCTATTGTTCTGTCTACCCACAAATTGAACTCTATACCCTGGGGCGTCGAAATAAGATGGCGAATTTCCTCAAACAGAGCTCCACCCGCAGCCGCTCGAACATCACCAGCGTTAACCTTGTCAATCACAACCTTGGAGTCCCCCACAATCGTGACGACCTCTACGCCATGATTTTGACACCAGCGAATCGCGTCCCGCAAAGTCGATAATTCAACAAGCATCGGATTCTAAAGACCGGTAAACATCAATCCCTGCACAACAACCACCGCACCACCCGCATCTCTTAAGACCACTCCACCTGCTGCAAACGTCCATTAACATATACTAGAAAGTGAATATCGCGTCAAGCGCGCGATCACTATGAAGGAGTTTTATATCAACTATTAAAGGCCCGTTTGTTAATTTGTTTTGTTAAAGCTTTAGATTATATGTTATTGATGAATTTACCGGTTGAAAGATAAATAGTAGAGAAAACCACATAAAATAGGGAAAATGACGCATCTAGCATTTATATTAGGATTCATAGTTGTTCACTAATTGAGTAGTATGTTAGCAAATACATATAAATAGACATTTTCTTCGAAAAGAGGATGGTATCCTAATGATGAAGACTGTGCAACGACACTACAAAAATAAACATTCTTTTCTCGAGATCCATGATTGTTCTTAAGTAGAGAAGTTCATTTGAAAAAGTAGATGAAGCGCGTTGAAATTTTTTTTGCTAAAGAAAAACTGAGATGAGCAAGCAATGCGAGTACACATAAACCAATTCTTTCAGTTGAGATATATTGTCATTTTCAATTTGAGAAGTGCGTGGGGAGAATGCATGTAAACAGCCTAGGCATGGTTTTTCAAGGAAGAGTAGGAAGTAATAAGGAGAAGACTGATTTTGTCTATTGTGAAGATAAATAGTTTACGTTCAGGATTCACTATGATTATTAAAACATGTACAAAGAAAGATGACTATATAGTTGGAGTAATCTAAATCTTCTAATTGATAAGCACTTAGAAAAAATATGCAATAACGGTTCCAAAAATAATTTTATTACAAAAAAAAATGATGAGTGCACTAAAATACAATAGAAATAGCCAAGTTCAAAAAAGTACGTCGGAAATGGTGAGTTCAAAAAATAAATAGGAGCAACATGCAAGTTTGTAGGGAACACTAGCTTGCATTTCGCTTTATATATATTAATATTTTAAAGATAAATTTAATTAGGGTCCCATAGAACCGCTAGAAAATTTAAATCGCATTAATGGTGATTTAATTATACGTTCACTGATGTATAATTAGAGATAAATTTAGTTGGTTAGTTGCACTCGAACCTTATCCGTTCCTACATACCCGTAACACGGAATCAACGTCCACGTAGTTCGTTTTTTGACTTTGATAATTTTAAATGTAATTTTTACCACGTTCCACCAATCGTGGTTCATGTCTTGAAGATTTTTGTTAATTACATTTAAATTAATTATTATGAATTTATGAAAAGAAAACAAGATGATTTCAGTTGTTATGATTTATGAAGACATTTGACACATTAGGAAGGAAACAGGATTAACATTATACGCATTCCAAATTTCGTATTAAGGATATTAAGTAATAAAAGAAAACGGAATGATTAGATTAACGCATGATGGGCTAGTAGCCCAACTTACTAAAGAGCCTGTCGTATGGCGTGTTTGGACCTGAGGACACGGGTTTGAAACTTGCTCTCAACAATTTTTGTGGTTTTCGTTTTTTAGTGTAGAGACGGGGAATGACACTTTGGTAATTACGCAAAAGAACAGTGGCAGGGATATGTAATTTTTAGGAAACCCTAAGGGCAATCTAGTCATTTTGCGCAACCAAGTATAAATTCTTCTCTGGAAACCCTAAAAGGCCATATTGGCGGCCTCTCTCTCGCCTCTCGCCTGTCTCTCTTCTTCTCGACTCTCTCTTCCCGAACCAGACAACGACTACCAGCAAAAAGAGAGAGGTCGCTCGTCCACCTCCCTCCTCGTTTCTTGTGCCTTATCCCAGAGAAACGAAACCCTAATTCTCTCTTATATGCCGTCGTGACTCTCTCTCTCTCTCTCTCTCTCTCGTTGCTCTCGTTTCACTCTTCCAGAAAAAGACCCGAACCAAACCCTTCGCCTATCTTAGGCAACGCCACTGCCGCCTCCTCTTCTCCTTGTCTCGATAGCCTTGTCGCGTCTTGCGCCTCTCCATCTGACGATGGATTCTCCGTTGTCTCCTTCACTCAGGCTTAAAGCGGCGAGAGTCTCCAGAATGTTGTGCTCAATTAAACGTTGGACGCGACCGTTGACACCGCCGTTGACACTATCCATAGCGATTTCCATTCAAGGGAAAAGTCTAGGGAACTCGATCGATTGAAAGAGGAAATAATTAGGGTTCGTCTGAAATGAGAATAGAAAAGAGGCGGAGGGGAGTTTCCCCTCTTTGACAACCACCATTCGATGCATATCGTCATGCAACACCGTTTTTTTGTGTTAGAATGTGGTGTTGTCTTTATATTTTTTTTTAACGGGGCCATTTTTTGAAAACCACCGTCGATTAAGTTATTTTTTTAATTGAATAATTATTCAAAAGAGGGATAACGAGTATCCTTGGCTAATATTTGACCCAATTCTTTTTTTTTTTTGCGATTTAACCCAATTTTTTCGAATATAAGTGATTTAAATATATTAATAAATATATCTCTAATATACATAATATTTTTTATGAATATAGATATTTTAGCTTTCAAGACTATATTCAAGACCAAATAACAATACCATAATGTATATGCTTAACAAAATCAAAATTGATAATAACGGTAAAAATAACAAGTTCATAATGTAGGAAAGCAAAAATTAGAAGTCATATTACATGATAAAAGAAATTCTTCATAACCCATGCCGCGCAAGATTAAGTTAACTTCATCGTCCTCATCCTCGACAACTCGACCCCCATTAGTCATTTCGTCTTCTTGGTATGTTTGTTCTTCTAAAATTTCCTCGACATCCGCCACATTATAAAAATTCCTCGGCCTTGTCTCAACCACCATGTCCCATTCCGGATCTCTGGCACACTGCACATAATACACTTGGGTTACCTGACTTGCCAAAATGAAAGGTCCGTCTGTTGGTCGCCTTCTTCTTCTATGGAAGCTAATAACACCGTGGTCATCCGTTCTCGCGTGGTTTCATACCAATCACATTGGAATAACACTACACGAAGCCCTTCGGTATATCGCAACTCTATGAAATCTTCAAATACGCCATAGTAAGGAATCCCCACACCTTCCTCACTTCGCACCATGACTCCACTATTTTGACTTGTTTTTCTAATCTCGTGATCTTGCGTGTGGAATCTAAATCCATTGATGCAATAGCCTGAGTAGTGCAACATTCGTTTTTCCGGCTCTCGATATAAAGTCAACATAGAGGGATGCAAAGTTGCAACATTGTCATCAATCATTTTGCCCACCTGCACCGTGAAGCAATTTTTTTGTTGGCTTGTACACCAATATGATAATACGACAACACTTCAAAATTTTCGTGTCAAAATAGTTACCTGAATAGAGAAATACATCTCGGATATACTTGACCAACTGGGTAAATGAATTGTTACTCCAGTTATTCTCCCACTTGATTTTCATAAGCTTTGTGACGAATGACAATCTTGACACATTCGAAGCACATCCCTCGTACAACGGTGATTGGGCCTCTTGTAGAAATTTTGAGCTTGGGAATTAGATTCTTCCGGATTCGCTAATGGAGCCATGAGGTCGTTCAGAACACCAAGCATATCATCTTCGCCCATATCGTTATCTTCACCCATATCGCCATCATCTCCATTGTCTTCTTCCATGTTATCATCACCCAATTCTGGACCTTCATCGTCATCTTCTTCATCTTCGTCGACCTCGCCATGGTAAATCCACTTAGTGTAGTCGGTTCTCATTCCTTTTTAAAGAAGATGTCCTTCTACCTGGTTCACTGTCATTCTACGCACATTACCACATTCCCCGAAAGGACACCTTATTAGACCATCATCGTCTTTAACATGGTATGTTGCGTACTTCGCGAATTTCTCCACTCCCGCAATGTACTATGTGCATGCCCGATTCTTCAATTGTATCCAAGATTTGTCTATTGGTTCCATACCTATAGATATGGAGGAAATTTATGTTATTAGAAAATATTACAAACAAAGTAAAACTAACTTAATTATTCAGGTAAATTAAATTGTCGATGTAGAAATAAAAATAATCCAAATTAAATCAAATGTTTATACCTTCACTTTGCTTTCATATATAAAACAAAGAAACAAATTGTTAATCACATTCAATATAATTTTAATTGATTTAAAACTAGGAAACTTAACTACTTCCACTTTAATTCGTGTAGTAATCACATTCAAACATATAATAAATTAATAGTCTAATTAATAGTCTTCCTTTACCCATAAAACAAATAAGGCGTACAACTACATACTATGTAGACACCAATAAAATAATAAATTAATAAAGTTAAGCTGGGGAAAAAATAAATTAAAAAAAGACGTGGTCATTTTGAAGAGCAGAGGAACTGCTTACCTTCCGTCCCTAAACCGCAGCCGATCGCCAGACCTACTCCCTCGCGTCGTTCCAGGCGTCCTCTCAATCGGCGGTGCAGTTTGGCGGTGGGGAAACGGCAACTGCGAAGTGGTTTCTTTGCTTTTTTAGATTGGGAAACTACATCATCATAATCCTTTTGTTCTTACTTGGATTTTATAGTGGTTTATGGCAAATTTGGGTCATGCTGGATTGATTTCGTCTTCCCCCTTTAACCCTTTTGCGGCAATTAAGAGAAAATGACCGGATGAACATACTCCATTCGTTGAACCAGTTTTGATGCCATTGTATCGTTCCCTTTTCCTGTAATTTCGGAATTAAATGATATGCAAGGGAAGAACCGGCCTTTGTATATTGCTGGGGAAGAAACACATTGAATGGATCTGCAGAAGACAAAGAGTTCTCTGCAGTTATGATTATGTTACACAATAATTAGATACAGAAAATTAAAAAACATACATAAATTGTGTGTAGCGTAACTGGTTTGGAATCTCCTTTACGAATATGTGGTTCTAGGTTCGAGTTGCATCAATAACTTATTTTTTAAAATTGTTTTTCATTATCAAATCCACTAATCTACTATTTCGGAAATTTTGTTTACCTGACCAACTATTTCTAACAAATTCATTTTAACAATCGTAAAAATGAACTGAATGGTAAAAAGGGTACATTTCAAAAACACCTTTCCCACGACATCATAATTCGTCAGTAATGTTTTACTTTTGACGATTTCTTTCAATATTATTGACGAACACGAGTTAGCTCACTAATATTGTTTTTTTTTCCGCAAGTTTTTCAAACCAACTATTCATTAATGATGGAAAATATGTGGTCATTAAGATGGGTCGGGTAGCTACATGTAGTGTGCATTTGTTCCAACCATCTTTTATTGACAACCGTATTATCACCGTCGAAAAAATAATGTTTTTTATGATGAGTTACTAAAATCCTGGCAAATAAAATTATACCAAACAATTCTTTCCAGAGTAGATGTTTTGGCATCACAAAACGTTATGGACCACATGTCAATTTTTGGGCGTCACAAACAATGATTATTTCTGACGCTTTGCTTACGACGGTTAGTAATGTTATAAATTACTGACGAAAATAAAAATATCGTCAATAAAAATGACACTACCTTCCTCATACATGTGAAACTCACCTTTAATGAGGAATTTTTTAACATTTCTGATGAATTTAACTATTGGTTGGAAATAACATAAGTTTTTATGATACAAAGATAGTTTTGTCACAAAAACGGTTATTTCCAACGAAAAAACAGTGTCGTCAAAAGGTTTTGATCACTTCTGCCAGTCTTTTTTTTAGTGGAGGCCGCTCGTTTCGTACTAAATCAACCGAGAGGGTTTCGATCTAGGTAATATCGAGAGATGCATGGTTTTTTCGATTTGTTTTAAGTGATTTTTTTGGGATTCGACTAATTTTCTTTCATTTTCTTGTGTATTGTGGGGCTTGGTTTCGGACAAGGGGAAAAGAAGTGGGGAGGAGACCGCCCGCGACCACCAGAACGACATACGATTGACGGTTGGGTCAGATCTGTCTTTCTTTTTCGTTTATCGGTTGTATTTTTGTTGGGATCTAATTTTTTCTCTGGTATTTTTATGGAGGTGGGTAGACAAAACGGAGGACAGGAAAGAAGAAAGCCGTCGGCGATAGGTTATTCCGTCAATGACGATGAGATCTAGATACCATTTTTTATTTGCATGTTGAGTCTTCTTTTGATTTTTTTTGTAAAAAAAAACGAGATTCTGAATTTTTTTTGTTTGGTTGGCCGCGAGACTCTGGTGGCGAAAACCTTGTCTCAAAAAGAAAGGTAAGATTTTGACTCCTAAATTAACGTTAATTTGCCATTTTTATTTAGTAATAATAAAAAAAACTTAATTCTAATTCGAAACTTTATTCTTCTTTCTGGCAGGTTTGGATGAGAAACCGGCTCGGCGAGGTTTCCTAAACCCAATTTATTTAGTATAAATTAAGAAGGCTAAATTAACTAAAAGATGGTATTATGGTGGGGTTTTGGTTTCTTTACAGATGTGAAATTTTTGGAAATATGGATATTTTTTCTGTGTTTTTATTTTTCGGCTCTTATTTCACTAATTAATTTCATAAAAACAAAAGTAGTTTAGAAGAAATCTAGCTCCTTAATGATCGCCGCAGTGCTTGCTATTACCAAACTAAAAGAAACTAAATTTTTCCTGATCTTATTATTATTGCTTTAATAGGGATTTTTGTGATTTATTAATTCGAAAGCTGATAGGGATTTATGAAAATGATATCATATTTTTCGGATCTAGATCTAGATCTAGTATTTTGAATATGGGATTTGGAAACTGATTTGGGATTGTTAACTGGAAAAAAAAGCTATGCGTATGTGTTGTACTTGTACTTGATAATACGTGGAGTGTGATTTGGTTGTGATTTGCTGATCTGTGTTGGATTTTTCGGCCTGCTATTACTCTAATACACATATGGTTATAGTAGTGTTCCTATCTATGTTATATAAAAATAATGGAATTTAAATATGGTGCTAAATTGGACAAAATACATATCTCATAGTGAAGGCAAGCTAGCAAAAATCATAAGCAATTCAAACAGAAATCAAATCACATTAAGATGGTATGAGCAAATCGTATAAATGGAAATAGGTTACAGAATCAAGCAGATAAGTAGTTCATCGCATAAATTAGGAGGTGCTTGGCAAACATGGATCAACAGTAGAATCAATCTATTGATGTTATTATCCAAAATATGAGAGACAAAAGTGGTACAAATCACCAATCTCAGATTCGAAAAGCCCACTCCCTTCGTTTCTGATTGATCACTCTCTGTTGGGCTTTGAGAAAGCTCGATCTCTAAATCCTTGTTCTTCAACTATAACAAGCTTTGAAATAGAAATTTTCTAAAGAGGCAAGAGAAAAGGTGTTTCTCTATATCACTCTCTATCTCTCCAGTGTCTCCCCTCTCCTATTTTCCATCATTAATGAATAGTTGGTTTGAAAAACTTGCGGAAAAAAACAATATTAGTGAGCTAACTCGTGTTCGTCAATAATATTGAAAGAAATCGTCAAAAGTAAAACATTACTGACGAATTATGATATCGTGGGAAAGATGTTTTTGAAATGTACCCTTTTTACCATTCAGTTCATTTTTACGATTGTTAAAATGAATTTGTTAGAAATAGTTGGTCAGGAAAACAAAATTTCCGAAATAGTAGATTGGTGGATTTGATAATGAAAAACAATTTTAAAAAATAAGTTATTGATGCAACTCGAACCTAGAACCACATGTTCGTAAAGGAGATTCCAAACCAGTTACGCTACACACAATTTATGTATGTTTTTTAATTTTCTGTATCTAATTATTGTGTAACATAATCATAACTGCAGAGAACTCTCTGTCTTCTGCAGATCCATTCAATGTGTTTCTTAAAATCCAGCATGACCCAAATTCGCCATAAACCACTATAAAATCCCAGTAAGAACAAACGGATTATGATGATGTAGTTTCCCAATCTAAAAGAGCAAAGAAACCACTTCGGAGTTGCCGTTTCCCCACCGCCAAACTGCACCGCCGATTGAGAAGACGCCTGGAACGACGCGAGGGAGTAGGTCTGGCGATCGGCTGCGGTTTAGGGACGGAAGGTAAGCAGTTCCTCCGCTCTTCAAAATGACCACGTCTTTTTTTAATTTATTTTTTTCCCCAGCTTAAATTTATTAATTTATTATTTTATTGGTGTCTACATAGTATGTAGTTGTACGCCTTATTTGTTTTATGGGTAAAGGAAGACTATTAATTAGACTATTAATTTATTATATGTTTGAATTGGATTACTACACGAATTAAAGTGGAAGTAGTTAAGTTTCCTAGTTTTACATCAATTAAAATTATATTGAATGTGATTAACAATTTGTTTCTTTGTTTTATATATGAAAGCAAAGTGAAGGTATAAACATTTGATTTAATTTGGATTATTTTTATTTCTACATCGACAATTTAATTTAACTGAATAATTAAGTTGGTTTTACTTTGTTTGTAATATTTTCTAATAACATAAATTTCCTACATATCTATAGGTATGGAACCAATAGACAAATCTTGGATACAATTGAAGAATCGGGCGTGCACATAGTACATTGCGGGAGTGGAGAAATTTGCGAAGTACGCAACATACCATGTTAAAGACGATGATGGTCTAATAAGGTGTCCTTTCGTGGAATGTGGTAATGTGCGTAGAATGACAGTGAACCAGGTAGAAGGACATCTTCTTCAAAAAGGAATGAGAACCGACTACACTAAGTGGATTTACCATGGCGAGGTCGACGAAGATGAAGAAGATGACGATGAAGGTCCAGAATTGGGTGATGATAACATGGAAGAAGACAATGGAGATGATGGCGATATGGGTGAAGATAATGATATGGGCGAAGATGATATGCTTGGTGTTCTGAACGACCTCATGGCTCCATTAGCGAATCCGGAAGAACCTAATGCCCAAGCTCAAAATTTGTACAAGAGGCCCAATCACCGTTGTACGAGGGATGTGCTTCGAATGTGTCAAGATTGTCATTCGTCACAAAGCTTATGAAAATCAAGTGGGAGAATAACTGGAGTAACAATTCATTTACCCAGTTGGTCAAGTATATCCGAGATGTATTTCTCTATTCAGGTAACTATTTTGACACGAAAATTTTGAAGTGTTGTCGTATTATCATATTGGTGTACAAGCCAACAAAAAAATTGCTTCATGGTGCAGGTGGGCAAAATGATTGATGACAATGTTGCAACTTTGCATCCCTCTATGTTGACTTTATTGTTGAAAGTAGAAATGTGAGAAACTCTCCCGAAAAACACACACACACCTTATCTTGCTATCAACCTTTATGTAAGATGGAAATATTCTGTTGATTCGAAGAAAGGATTACAAAAGCAGACAAGCACACTACGTTACTTGGTTGAGCCGAAGGATCCCTTAACTATTAGGATTAATCGAACGAATCACACTTTTACCACTAAACTATACCCGCTATTATTTGATTATTGTATAGAAAAGAACCTTTTGTCGAGTAAGAGTATCGGGCGTGATCAAGATTAGATCATACCATAAACGAAACGAATTCTGAAAATTCGCTCGAATCTTACCATCTCTTAACATCTTCTCTTTCGTGATAGACATCTAATGAAATTAGGAAAGGGGGATTCTATATTATTTGATCCTCTATCCTAAGAACATTATAAGACTAGAAAGAATCCTTCTTATATCTTATAATTGTTAATTCTTGTTCTTTCAATAACAACTCTTTTTGTTTTCAAATCAAATACAAATAGGTCATTTATTACAATTTATTGAAACAAAAAAGAGTCCAGGACTTCGAACAGGCTCTGGAAAAAGGGCAATTTTCGAACAAAATCAAAAAGTCCGTTTTTTTTATTCCATTTTTTCTTTTTTAGAAGTTTTTATTAAAATTTTGAAGAAATTTTCTAAGCCAAAGAAGTCTTTTTTATATCAATCAATATATATAATATTGATTGATATATATTGATTGGTTAATTGAAATATTGAGTTAAAGATATCTTTTTAGGGCATTTGTTTAATATTTTAATATATAGTTAATTATTATTAATATATTAATTCTAAAAAAAATAAAAAATAAACAGAAATATATTACGATATTTCTATAATTCTAGAAAATTCATAAATTTTATTTATTATACTTTTGAATAGAAAATATTCAAAAAAAAGATTTCGAATTTTTAAATTTCGATTTTCTAATTAAATAAAAAAAAACTTTCTTTTTAAGCTTTACGTTAATTTAATATAGTAATTATCTTTTTTTAATTGGGAGAGATGGCTGAGTGGACTAAAGCGTCGGATTGCTAATCCGTTGTACGAGTTGTTCGTACCGAGGGTTCGAATCCCTCTCTTTCCGGTTCCGTTGATGTTTTAATATTTTTTATCTTTCAAAAATTTATAGATTCTCTTTTTGTTTATTTAACAGTTAAAAATTAAAGATAGAGAGTCGATAAAATGTTAAGAACATAAAAAAAAAGCAAGGAAAAATATTTTTTTATTCTTCGCGCCCGGGGTTACGCCCTGGATCATTAGATAAAAATCCGAAGATGAAGAGAGAAACAAAGAAGATCACTACTGTGTAAACAAAGAGTTTGAGAGTAAGCATTACACAATCTCCAAGTTTTTGGTTGAAAAAAAAAAGAAAATCGATTCTCTATTTAATTTTTTTTATCCCACATCCCCATTTTGACACCAAGAAATGAAGTAGTTTCTAGAAAAAGAAAAGAATTTTTAGACATTCATTTGAAACAAAAGTCGAGTCTTGCATTGCCTAAAAAGGGATTTTATCCCTACTGATAATCCTAATCAAACTAGTTTTGTTTCCTACCTCCAATTCGATATTGGAGGGGGATAATAGGATCTTTTTTAATGAACTGAGAAAGAGTTTAGAATGGGAAAAAGCGAAGTGATCCCGATTTCTCGTGTTTCTTTTTTGAATTTGAAAAGACCTTCAATATTTGAGTTGAGGGCTTTTATTCTAAGACGTATCTGATCTTCTCAATTGTTCGAATTTCTAATTTTGTTCTTTTCCGATTTTGAATAAAGCATGATTTATTCTAGGATAGTAAAGATCTTATCGAAAACTTACAGCAGCTTGCCAAACGAAGGCTAATAGAAAAAAGAAGAGAGGGATTACTGGCATAATATCTACAATTGGATTTAAAAAGGCGTAGGCTTCGGGCAATTTTGTGAAGAAAAAACTACCTGAAAAAAGGTCAGAATTAAGACAGATATAAATCAAACTAAAAAATTTAAGCATAACAAATATTTTGTTCTTGAAGATAATTGTGAGTTATTAATATGTTATTGATATAAAACTTGATCGAAAATCCAAGCAAGGTAGCCCCAAAAAATCCTTCTTTTTAAAGTCGCGGAATTCCCAATTCTTCAATTCTCAAATCAAAAAAGAATAGAAGAAATTCAGTTTTCATACAATATCTTAATTGAATTCTATATTATGATCAATAAATTTAGTTGAATTCTATATCTACGCATATCAAAATACGAAAACCAAGCTAATTTAGTTCATAACTATTTGAGCAGGAATTGACGAAGAACCAATACTAATGTTAGTTTTTAGTAGTATTGAATGAAAATAGAAATGGGGCGTGGCCAAGTGGTAAGGCAACGGGTTTTGGTCCCGCTATTCGGAGGTTCGAATCCTTCCGTCCCAGAACATACTTAATGACAGAATTAGGAATTTATATATGAATATCACCCAGTTGAACAACTGTATATTTAAGAATATAATAAATGCAATTCGTGTTTCTTGGTTTGAATAATTTTGTATTTAAAACTAAAACAAATTCTTTTTTTTAGTGTGTTTTTCTCAACACATTACCATTCATATTGACAACGATGTGCCAAATAAATATAATCCGATTGGGGTAAGTCGATCTGTTTTGGGGATCTATTTATCCTTCTTTGATAGGTTTGTTTTTTTCTTCAGTCAAATGATGCATTTCTTGTGATACAAAAATCTTTTTTTGATCGAAAAAAAGGAAATATGAAAAAAAATCTATATGTGTAAGAAAAAAATGCATTTTCTAAAAATCGAACTAATAAAATAAAATCATATTATTTTATATATATTGATATTAGACAAAATAGTTCCATTTTCAATTTTATTAATTGAATTAATATCTATTATATATTATTATTATATAATAATATTAATATATATTAATAATAATATTTTTAGTATTCATTTTTCTTAATAATAATTAAGAATGAATAACATAAGAAAGAGAAGAAATTATCTTGAAGTTTTTCTTTTTTCTATATATACTTTTTTTCGTGAGGTCCATTCTATTTTTTTTATGTTTCGAAGGAATTCGATAGTTGTAGATTCAGTTCATTTCTTGCTAGTTTAATGTTTTGATTATCCCGTATGATTCAAGCTTTTTTTTTCCTTTGTATGTATATAACCTAAATTTTTAGGGGGGTTGCTAACTCAACGGTAGAGTACTCGGCTTTTAAGTGCGACTAACATATTTTACACATTTGGATGAAGAACCAAATTCGTCCATACTATCGGTATAGTTTGTAAGACCGCGACTGATCCTGACAGGAATGAATGGAAAAAAGAGCATGTCGTATTACTGGGGATTTTCTGAGAATAGTTCATTTTGACCAGGAACAGAGCGGGTCCAAACCTTATTTGAATTCTTGGTAAAGAACATAAAAAAAAAATTCAACGTTGGGTCGAGGAAATAAATGGATAGAGCTTTAAGGCTCCAATTATCAGTAAACAAAAAAGAAATGAGCTTCCCTTCTTAATTTTCATTTTTTTATTTGAAATTAAAAGGATTATCCTATCTAAATTTACGTTAAAAAGGTATTAGTGCCTGATGCAGGAAAGGCTTTTCCATAAGCGGATTTGCCATTTTTTTACTGAGTCCTAACTATTAGCTATTCTCCACTATGACTATCAGTAGGAGATGAGTGTGTAAAAGAAAGAGTATATTGATAAAGAGATTGTTTCCAATATCAAAAGAGCGATTGGTTTGAAAAAGTAAAGGATTTCTAACGATCTTTTTATCCTATAATGAGCAGAATCTAATTAGATGGAAAAAAGAGAGGATAGAGAATCCGTGGTGATGAGTTTATCCCTTTTCGAGGTATTTATTATATTCCTTTTTTTACTATATCGCACTATGTATTATTTAATAACCTAAGAAATCCCTTATCCTTGCTTTAATCAAATCCAATTTAAAATTTTAAGATGCAATGCAAATGACAAAATATACAAAATATTTAGAACTAGATGGATCTCTTAAAAAAAGCTTCCTATACCCACTTATCTTTCGGGAGTATATTTATATAGTTACTTATGCTCGTAGTTTAAATGGATATGGATCCATTTTTTCGGAACATGTAGGTTGTGAAAATAAATCTAGTTTACTAATTGTAAAACGTTTGATTACTAGAATGAATCAACCGAATCATTTCATTATTTCGGCTACTGATTCTGAACAACATATACTTTTTAGGTATAACAACATTTTGTACTCTCAAATGATATCAGAGGGACTTGCAGTTATTATCGAAATTCCATTTTCTCTACGATTAGTATCCGCTTTAGAAAGGTTAGAAGTAGTCAAATCCCAAAATTTACGATCAATTCATTCAATATTTCCTTTTTTAGAGGACAAATTTCCACATTTAAATTATGTGTCAACTGGACTAATACCTTACCCCATCCATCTAGAAAAGTTGGTTCAAGCCATTCGCTTCTGGATAAAAGACCCCGCTTGTTTGCATTTATTACGACTCTTTTTTCACGAGTATTGGAATTGGAACAGTCTTTTTTTTTCGAAGAAATTTCGTTCCATTTTTGTTTTTGTAAAAAGGAATCCAAGATTCTTCTTGTTCTTATATAATTTATATATATATGAAAACGAATCCATCTTCTTTTTTCTTCGTAACCAATCTTTTCATTTACGATCCACTTTTTATCAGTTCCTTCTTGAGCGAAAGTATTTCTATGGAAAAATAGAACAGTTTGCAGAAGTGTTTGATAATTGTTTTCGGACCAGCCTATGGTTGTTTAAGGATCCGTTCATGCATTATGCTAGATATCAAGGAAAATACATTCTAGCTTCAAAGGGTACGCCCTTTCTAATTAAAAAATGGAAATATTACCTTGTCAATTTATGGCAATCTCATTTTTATGTGTGGTCTCAACCAGAAAACATCTATTTAAACTCATTATCCAAACATTCTATCCACTTTTTAGGCTATCTTTCAAGTCTACGATTAAATCCTTCGGTCTTACGAAGTCAAATGGTAGAAAATTCTTTTATAATGGATAATACTACGCAGAAATTTGATACAATAATTCCAATTCTTTCGTTGATTGGAGCCTTGGAAAAAGCCAAATTTTGTAATGGAGTTGGGCATCCCATTAGTAAACCGGCTTGGGCTGATTCACCCGATTCAGATATTATTGATCGATTTCTCTGTATATGCAAAAATCTTTCTCATTATTATAGTGGATCCTCAAAAAAAAATTTGTATCGAATAAAATATATACTTCGACTTTCTTGTGTTAAAACTTTGGCTCGGAAACACAAAAGTACTGTACGGATTTTTTTGAAAAGGTTGGGGTCGGAATTGTTGGAAGAATTTTTTACCGACGAAAAACAGATTCTTTCTTTGATTCCAAGAACTTCGTCTATTTCCCAAAGATTATATAAAGGACGGGTTTGGTATTTGGATATTGTTTGTATCAATGAACTGGCCCATGAAAAAAATTTGTTTATCAAACATGTAAATAGAAATTTTCCATAAATGATCAAATGAAGGGGTAACAAAAAAGTTCATTTATTTCGATTATGAAATGTTCAGAAAGTATATCAGCAAGGATTGAGCAACTGAGTATTCAACTTTCTTCTCAGGTACGGGGTTCCGTCTAGGGGAAAACTGAGCTTTAGTTGTATACATAGGAAAAGCCGTGTGCAATGAAAACTGCAAGCACGGTTTGGGGAGGGTTTTTTTCTTTTATCCGTTTTTTTAAGAAAGAAATTTTCTACTCCATCCGACTAGTTCCGGGTTCGAGTCCCGGGCAACCCATTAGAACTATTTATACCTATTTTACTATCATATTGATATTCTATGATATAGGATTTTATATGTGTAGAAAAAAGACATGAAATCATAAAGCTATCTCTCCTAAAGGTATAGGGGGGCTGATATTGGTTGACACGGGTATATAAGTCATGTTATACTGTTGAATAACAAGCCCTATTTCTATGATTTCTATGTAAATAGAATAATGTGCTTGGGAGTCCCTGATGATTAAATAAACCAAGATTTTAACCATGACTGCAATTTTAGAGAGACGCGAAAGCGAAAGCCTGTGGGGTCGCTTCTGTAACTGGATAACCAGCACCGAAAACCGCCTTTACATTGGATGGTTTGGTGTTTTGATGATCCCTACTTTATTGACCGCAACTTCTGTATTTATTATAGCTTTCATTGCAGCCCCTCCAGTAGATATTGATGGTATTCGTGAACCTGTTTCTGGATCTCTACTTTATGGAAACAATATTATTTCTGGTGCCATTATTCCTACTTCTGCGGCTATAGGTTTGCACTTTTACCCAATATGGGAAGCAGCATCTGTTGATGAATGG